AAGCAAGGTCTTGAAAATGTCCAAACTACGCTGAATGGCATATTCGTAAAAGAAAAACTTAAACCTTAAACAGTACTCTTAAATATGTTTATAATGTAATTTAGATACACTGAAACAATTATACACGACTTCACTTCAGAAAATTTTATTTTAATCAAGTTCAGGCTTCCTTAACGTTTCGCCATTGCAGCTTTATCGTGCAATGTGACTTTTTTTATTCATTTCAGCAAAACTGAACTTATAGCTGGTTGGTTTCTTTTAATTAAGATAAGAAATGGACGTTACTTGAAAACACAGGTGAATAAACATTAAACAACGGTAAGCGAAATATCATCAGTAGTGTTAAAACTAACGTCAGTATTGGAAATAAATAAGATAACACTACGTATTTAGTTTCGTTTGAATTTAATAACTAATGATAATCATTGCTTCATAAGTTACAACTTTTGACAATAGACGTTTCAATCAATGAGTATTTGAGAATAATTGCACCAGCGATCGAAACGTCGTACATGTCTATCGAAACGTCGTACATGTCTAAATAAAATTATTCCTCAAAATCTACGTAAAACCGATAAATTATAAACATATATAGTAAATGTACTTGTTCTTTAAGATTATGAACTTTACTATGTTCATTCGAAAAACTTTCGCGGAAATTGTAGCTATACACAAGTTTTCAAAATTTCGCCACGGACCCATCTAAATTCTGGACGTACTTTTTGTATCATAGGTGATTCTAAGAAACATACAGTGTGTTTACGGATATAATATTCATTGTAGTCGGTATTCCACGGATATTTATGTAATGCTCTACTACAGCGTTTGAGGCAGTATCAAACTGGTGTAATGGAGATAAATTACATCGTACTGATTGTATGTGCAGCACAAAAAACCTTGGATATATCATCAACATTTTGAGCGTTGAAGAAATAAAAACAACAACCAGAAGATGAATTGCAAACACCACTCAGAAACAGGTACAAGACATTCTTGTTATGTCGGTGATTCCCTTTATCAGAGCTAACTAAACGACTCCGGAGAATTGTTTACAAGTTGGATCTTCCCATAGAGATAGTTAAACATCTTGGAAAACTATCAAAAATACATTTCTTCGACCAACGTTTAAACTTGAAAATAGGATGACAGCAAAAAGGATTAAAAGAACTGTGTCATGCAACAATTGTATATATATATATATATATATATATAGTAAATATGTCATGTAACAATCCTACCATAATCATACAACAATTCTAGTGTACGTATGTAAACTATGTCATGTAACAGTCTAGTGTGCATATGTAAACTATGTCATAGACCAATCCTAGTGTACATATGTAAACTATGTCATACAACAATCCTAGTATACTCATGTATGTAAACTATGTCATGTAACAATCCTACCATAATCATATAAACTATGTCATGTAACAGTCTAGTGTGCATATGAAACCTCTGTCATGAAACAATCCTAGTGTACTTATGTAAACTACGTCATGTAACAGTCCTAGTGTACTTATGTAAACTACGTCATGTAACAGTCCTAGTGTACTTATGTAAACTACGTCATACAACAGTCCTAGTGTACTTATGTAAACTACGTCATGTAACAGTCCTACTGTTACATGACGTACTTTATATAAGTACACTAGGACTGTTGTATGACGTAGTTTACATAAGTACACTAGGACTGTTACATGACGTAGTTTATATAAGTACACTAGGACTGTTGTATGACGTAGTTTACATAAGTACACTAGGACTGTTACATGACGTAGTTTACATAAGTACACTCCTAGTGTACTTATGTAAACTATGCCATACAACAATCCTAGTGTACATATGAAACCTGTGTCATGAAACAATCCTAGTGTACTTATGTAAACTATGTCATGCAAAAATCCTAATGTACGTATGTATGTAAACCATGTCATGGAGCAATCCTAGTATACTTATGTAATGTAAGGAATGCCTTATATGTGAGACACCAAGCGAAACGACACTATCTCTTGAATTATAGCCGCGTATAAATATCTAAATATCTTGAAAACTCTTCAGGTTGCAATACAAATATTCAAATCTCTAGTGATTTAGACATTGTTTTATAGCCAAACACCATTATTTGCTAAAGTTATTATGGACTTTTGGCGAGGTAAATTCGGCACATGAATAAAAGGACGATGAGTAAATTTTTCAAGCATGTTACCTTATAAAAATTTAACAAAATATGTTCTGGCTAATTGTCACAACATGGTTATTAGGCAGTTTAGAAATTCTGCATTTCAAATTAGACGTCATGTGATAATGTTGTCCATTATCAACGTCACACTTGTAACAGTTAGACCATGGACTTATTGCATTTTTAAATCGGCGATTTTCATATTACATTTACAGTTGATTTTGTCTGAAAGAATTTTTCTCATTTATGAACATTTGTTTTATACATTCATTCCCTTTGAATCATTTTTAACCTTGAAGTTGAAGTTTCGACATTACTGTATCCAGCGTAATAGAAAGAAATAAGACTACATGTATTGCGTTACTTATTCCTAAAAGAAAAAAATATACAAACATAAGAACAGTTTGATCTTCTTGTAGAGTAACATTCATACCAGATCACTCACGCCACCCAAAACGGACAGTAGTGGGTCCTTTCAGTTTACTCTGCTTATCCTAACAACGGATTATTTATGAAATCACTTATACTTTGTGGCCTTATAAGGTTAAATGTTGCCTGCATTTTGACAAGACGTGAAAAAATGTATTTAAATTCTAAAATGAAAATATTCCACTCGATAAATAAACAACATAAGATTTACAGCTTACCAGTATCCTCGCACAGTCAGCATGGTCATATATGGCTGCCACATGTAGTGCCCGTCGGCCATGCTTTCCTCGTAGGCATGTGTCCACCTGACTTTTATGATTTACCATTTCCTGAAATTAAAGTATCAGCTTGTTCCATGAAATCTGAGCGATTTTCACTGAGAAACGTTGTATAACACAATTCGGTACGGATTGTACTGCAATATATATGTAAATTTAATGTACTAATTGTGATACAACTAAACACATAAATAGAAACTTGTCTTACTGACAACGTCATTCCAACTTCCATGTTATATATATATATATCATATTTATATTATTTTAACCTCAAAATTAAGACGATTGATGTTCAGTTTTATCAAATAATTTATAATTTTACCGTGTTTTAATTTTAAAACCAGGGGCTTCACTTGTTATGGGGCAAGGGGAGACATTGCCTCCCAGCCTTGGTTTATTCCCCCTTAGATTTTGCAAAATATGATATAATCCCATGTACGGTTGTTGAAGTTTTCTTTACAGACGAATAAAATAATTATAGCACAGCGAATGTTCTAATTAGTGGCACAGCTTTGCCCCCTCCCCGAAAGTGTCATAAATTACGTCACTGTTTAAAACTAAAACTGTAAGAACAAAGCCACTTTACCTCGAGGACCTCAACTCTATTTAACTCTGTAGCTAAATGAATTGGACCATTCATTTCATTATTACGGATTGATGAGTCAGCCTTGTTGGACAGCAGATAGCTTATTGTTTCTAATGCATTACTTTCAACCGCCAGATGGAGTGCTGTGTTACCGTCATAATCTTGGGCATTTATATCTGCAATGTAAAAATGATGTTATACATAATACTCAAGATAAAACCAACTAAAACAAGTTTAGCAAATATATGGTTTAACAATTAGTTCTATAAAACGGTCAAGTGAAGTTTCTTTTAATTAAGCACAAAAAATTAAGTATTTGTATTAAATTGTTGTCATCGTAAAAACCTACCAACCTTAAGGAAGGCATCAGGAAACACTGAAACGTTGAAATCACGAAAATCTAATATGCTCACTGAAGACTTTAATAAAAAACTGAAGTTTCGTCGTTACGGTAATTTGCCAAACTTTTACAACATCTGAGCCGAGAGTGGCCCGCTGGCGTGCCAAACTGTGGAGCTGAGATTTTGTGGTTTGAGCCCCGTTACTAGCAAAAAAAATCGCGCTCTACACTTCGTGTCAACAAGTGCATTATAAAATTGATGGATAAATACCCCAAGAATATCCTAAAAGCTGCCTTCCCTATGGTCTATCACTTCAAAACAATGGACAACTGGCATAGATCTCTCATGTAACCTTGCGCGAAATCCAACAAAGTAAACAAACAGATCTATGAGATCCTATTGGAACATTAAAATTCCATCATGGAAATCTAGTAGAAATTTAAAGTTCATACATAACGTTCGTTCTTAATTCTTTCGTAGAACGGACTAGGCATTCGAGGCGCAATGCCACTAAAACGCGCTCCTAATAACTACCAAGGTCATCACATTTTGTAGTAAGTGCCTTGATACTGCTGCCTTGCGCATAATAATCCTACTAATATAGCAGCTATATATATATATATAATGGCTAATACACAGTTTAATAATAACTCAAATAAAGTACACCTGTTTTAAAAGCACTTTTACAGATCCGTTCATTACACCCATAGATACCTATCTCTATACTTGTAATAAGATTATCACGTACATTGTGGGGACACACGCATACATGTAGTTCAAAACCCGTTGTAAACATTATAGTTGCAGGGATCAGACTGGCTTATTTATACATATTAACGTTATTGACAACTAAATGTAGCTTCATTGCTGAAAAAAACTAGAAATTAAAAAATATATATAAATTCGTGAAATCGCTGTAATGGAAAAATAAATGTGTGGTCAAATCTTTTATCAGAACGTTCATTACTCATTTCTCTCTCCTTAGCAACAGTTATACTCATTTTTAGCATTTTTTGGTGTAATTATAAAACTTTGGGTGAGAGCCGAGCTATTAATCTCTTAATTGTTAGTTTGTTTTAATCTCCACGTAGTTTATCATATCGGTCTTCTTATGTAATCTGTCGTTGGTGGTACTTCTTCACAACCCGGCCTTTCTCACGTCACATACTATAATAAATGCATCATAGCCGTGCAACCCTGAGAAGCAGTAAAGATACAATGATGTCCCTTGAAGTCGGCTGGATTCTTAATCTTTCTTTTTTTTTTTGCTCCAAATTGCTTCTGGATGTATGCCTTTGATGGTTACAGGATCTATGATAACACGTGAGTCACCCCAAAAATAAAACAAATATACCGTTAGTATAGCAATTAATCACACTACTGGGTTATCCTACGTATCGTACATAGAAAATAAAAGGTTTTACCTAATTTTTCATCACTTCATTATAATAAATGTTGTAAGAGGAAAAAAGATAAAATTAACCGGAATTATGCAATATCTGAAACCCACTGGTAGTGAACGATATGAAAAAAAAATGATTTGTTCGAAGTTAAGCACAAAGCTAAATAATGAGTTATCTGTGCTGTGCCCACCACGGGTATCGAAACCCGGATTCTAGCGTTGTTAGTCCGCAGACATACCGCAGTGCCACTGGGGACAAGATAAATAAAAGTCGTTTTTTTTTAAGAATTAAACAGTAATTCGTTGCTCTCAACCACTGAGGGGCATGGTAAATAAAAGTCGTTTTTTCTTTAGAATTAAACAGTAATTCGTCACTCTCAACCACTGGGAACAAGATAAATAAAAGTCGTTTTTTTATAATTAAACAGTAATTCGTCACTCTCAACCACTGGGGACAAGATAAATAAAAGTCGTTTTTTTTCTTTTTTTAGAATTAAACAGTAATTCGTTGCTCTCAACCTCTGGGGGCAGAAAAAGCAGGGAGCCACTGAAACGAGCTTGAAACAATTTTTTTCTTCGATCCGGACTTGATAATGATCACAAATATTTTGATGAGAGAAACATTCAATAAATTAAAAAATAATAAATTTAGAATCAAATCAAAAATAATAAATTTAAATTGAAAATTCAGTTAAGTTTGTTGTATAGCATTTCCAAAACTCTAATGTACAGAGTTTATTTCCTTATAACAAAGAACAAACACTATACAACATATTCTTGATAAAAAATAAGGATCCTGATTTTATAAAATGATGGTCCACAATCAGAAAAGAAAATTGGATTCTCTGCTCTACTTCACACACTAACTTTTAGTGCGTCGCAAACTTTTATAAATAACTCCTTTTTAGCTTGACATTTGTTATAATTAGTTCGTTTTCGATTTTTGGTTTGAGTCTACTTAGCAACTATTGTCAATGGTGCACACTAAGCCTAGGATTTTTTTTTTCCATCTGGTAATAAATAAGTCACCAACCATTTCCCAGCTTGCCGTAAAAATTCTGAAAATATTCACTAGACTATGGAGAAATTCAATTAGTTCTCATGAACACAGAAAATGTCGATATTTTAAGCTCATCTTAACATGTTTGTTTCAAAATTATCGTGCAAAGCTACACGAATAGTTAGTAGCCGCCCTCAATTTTAAGCTGATCGACTAAGAGTAAAGAGATGGAAGCTTGTCAAAAACACCCCATCACAACTTTAGAGTTGCTCTTGTTTGGCCAAATAGCAGGATTTAACTCAGTCCACGGCCCAAAAGTGCTGAGCGCGATTTTGTGATAAAAAGCTGCGAATCATGAACCCTTGGACTTACGCTACGAGCTCGCTAACCACTAGGCCACGCCCATCTTTAAGCTTGTAGAAGTACATAATTTTTCACTTGGCGAATCGTGTGTACAATATATGTTTATATTCAGTAAACTTACGTAGTTTAATATCTTCTTACTAAAGTGTGCTTTTTTTTGAAACAATATTAATAGAAAAGAATACCGAAACCCGATTTTATTTTATTTTTATTTAAGCCTACAGACTTACCGCGGAGGCACTAGGGGACAAATTGTAACAAAAGCTTATGTAAGCTGGTGAATTGTTATAAGTTAAGTTTATTAAATATTTTTAAAAGTATTTTTATTCTTTATTAGAACAAGTTTATCCCTCCTAACAGTTCAGTGTTCATCAGGTTTGCCATGGCCTGATGGTTAGGGCGCTCGACTCACATTATACGGGTGGCAGATACGAATCCCATCATCGAACATGCTCTCCCTTTCAGCCGTGGGGGCGTTATAGTGTGGCGGTTAATCCCAGTTTTCGTTATAGCCCAACAATTGGAAGTAGCTGATGTTAACTAGCCGCCTTCCCTTTATTCAATCACCACTAAATTAGAGACGGCTTTATGTTTTACAGTTATCAGTTCTCATTAAATAGTATATACCAGTCAATCTTCTTAACATTCACAATACTTAGCAAGTGTTATCATTTCTCATTTAATAGCATATACCAGTCAATCTTCTTAACATTCAAATTACTTAGCAAGTGTTATCAGTTCTCATTAAATAGCATATACCAGTCAATCTTCTTAACATTCACAATACTTAGCAAATGTTATCAGTTCTCATTAATTAGCATATACCAGTCAATCTTCTTAACATTCACAATACCAGTCAATCTTCTTAGCATTCAAATTACTTAGCAAGTGTTATCAGTTCTCATTAAATAGCATATACCAGTCAATCTTCTTACCATTCACAATATTTAGTTAGTGTTATCAATATTCAGAACACTCATTGTTGATTGTAATAATCAGAGTAATCTCATTTATAATAATAATATTCAACGTTCATGATGCTTATCAGTGTACTTTTATATTAGCGTTAAGTTTCGTTCTCGTCAATTGTTCACACATCACAACATTGGGATTTAAATAGATTAATTGTTTAGCAAATTATTAATTGTATCTGACTATTGTTTTGTCATTTCACCACGATGTGGCGCTGTCACAAAGGAATCCATGGGTAGTAGCATCTGATTTTATGTTTAGTAAGGTAATATAGTGATTCATTGGATTATTCTTATGATTTGTTTTGAATCTTTCTTGTGCAGAAAAAAACATTACCATAGTTGAATAGTTACCACTTCTAATACCCACATTATTTCTGTAAATGCCCCCCAATGGTACAGCGGTATGTTTGCGGACTTACAATGCTGGAAACCGGGTTTCGATACCTGTGGTGGGCAGAGTACAGATATCCCATTGCGTAGCTTCGAGCTTAATCCCCAACAAACAAACAATTTCTGTAATATACAAAAACCTAAATTCGCTAAATTGAGATGTATGAAACCTTCCAACAGGATATCAAGTGCGCGTGCCACAATGTATCGTTCACTTTAATAACGTACGGGATATGCCAAACGAAACGACATTGATTTCTAAGAAAAGTCACAAGAAATACACAATTCCTGTGTTAACTTAGGTGTTGAATAAAAAATCAGTCATAGTTCTCAAAAGACGTTTGTTATGATGAACTAAAAAAAAAATGTTAAGTTATGTTAGTGTGAGAAAACGAAATTGGATTTGCCATTTTTGTCTTTCCATATTTTCGTCAATGTAGTAACTTTATTAGGAGTGCGTTGTAAAAAAACACAATATTTGGGTTATTGGATTAGCACGTCATAGCCGAAGAGAAGATGAATGCTTGAATATAATTATTTACGTGAAATTCTGAATGAAACAAACCTACCTCCCCCATGTTCGTGGATAAATTGAACACACTCGACTCTATTTTGTGATGCAGCATGATGCAGAGCCGTACGACCTTTTTTATCACGGTAATTCAGACGTTTTTCATCACCAGTCATCAGTCTGTCAAGTTCTTCAAGATTTCCACTTGCAGCAGCCTAGATGTAAAAATAAGTACGTGGCAACGATAGAAGAAATACATATTTTGATTATGGAAAAATATTGTCATCAATAGGCTATGATTTTCATTAAAGTTTACCCAAAACTAGTGATTTATAGTAACTAAAGTTAGAAACCATTTAAAATTGAAAGAATATTTTTTTTATAGAACAAAAACTATCTCACATTTTACGGAGTCAATATAAAAAATATGAAAAAGGAAATGCACAACCTTAATTTTCTCGCTGGATTTAATAATGGTCTAATTAAAGATCAGCAGAAGATTGTTTTGTTATTTTAGACAAACATTTTTCATCAGAAAGCTAGATCATGATTTAGTGACACACTTTCAATTCTGTTAATGACACATTTGTATTTTCATTTGTTACACGGTCCAGTATAGCTTGATGGTTAGGGCACTCGCCTCACAATCTGAAGAGTGCGGTTCGAATCCCCATCACCGAACAAGCTAGCCCTTTCAGTTGTGGGGCATTATAATGTGAAGGTCAATCCCACTATTCGTTGGTTAAAAAGTAACCCAAAAGTTGGCGGAGGATGGTGTTGACTAGCTGCCTTCATTCTAGTTTATCACTGTTAAATTACAAATTACCAGGCGCAGATAGTTCTAGTGTAACTTTACGCGAAATTCAAAGTAAACCAAACTTAATCACATAGTTCCAGTTTAATGATGGAACTTCGTTTTATGGATGACACGATTTGAATTACAGTAATGGTAGTTTCATTTTCCTTAACAGTGAACAAGTGAAAAAGTTAAGCAATAGTTCAAAACTTAACTAATACATCATTGTTTTTCTACTACTGAAATAATTTTGAAAATTCAAAAATATATTTCATTGTCTTGTTTTATTCAATGTGATCCATATTGCTACAACGCAGTCTTCCCAATTAGGATGCATATCTTTTGAAACCTAACGTTAAGAAAAAGGTAATCAAAGTGCAAAAATTATTGTTAATTATCTGGAAGATGGGAAAATTATAGGTGTTCAAAATATCCTTGTTATAAAGTCAACTAAAAAAGATAATTTTTTTAGGTGTTTATGCTCATACATAATATCCTTTATGAGGATTTTACGTGTAGCAATAATCTCTTTTCATACTTAAGTTTATTTAGCAATTGGTTTTAGGTGTTTATGCTCATACATAATATCCTTTATGAGGATTTTACGTGTAGCAATAATCTCTTTTCATACTTAAGTTTATTTAGCAATTGGTTTTAGGTGTTTATGCTCATACATAATATCCTTTATGAGGATTTTACGTGTAGCAATAATCTCTTTTCATACTTAAGTTTATTTAGCAATTGGTTTTAGGGTATGATCGTTTCTTACTAAAAGTGTTCTTCTTGAAGAAAGACCTCATTATTATGTGCCCACTTCAGATGAAAGTACCACATTCCATACTTTATAAATATGTATGTAAGTTACTGTCCGAGGATAGTAGATTAGAACACCTGAACATAGTGGACGATAAATTAAAACAATTTAACTTATTGTTAGCTTCTTGCGTACATACCACACTTTCTCTTATCCCCTAAAGTAACAGACAAATAACTAAAAAACACATTGTCTCAATAATCAGTTCAGCACTGCAACAAGCTCACTAGATCAATCAATTTCCTCTTCAGTGTAACTCGTGTTTATGTTCTGCTGAAATCGTTCTCTAAATTTTCAAGAAAATTCCAGAGATTCAGCTACACGTTCATCACGTGATGTCAAAGCTCTCATTATCCAACATTAATACAAATGTCTAAATTAAAAAGGGGAAAAACAGCCTGTAACAATAGATAAAACCAAACCTCTGAAATACATGGGTTATATTTTATGATGGCCATTCGCTCCCGAGTAATCTGAGTTTATCGCAACATTTTCGTTCTGTTGACAGACTCTTTTTTTATTCTTGTTGTTGTTAATATTGCAACAATTGCTTTATTATACTTAAAGTAAACTAACTTACAGCTGATTGCCCTCGTATTTCCTGGAAAGTGCTTAGAGTGTGTACATAGTAAGACTAGAACTCCACCCACTTTTACCTGCAATTGAACCTGACAACCTTGTTGCCGCGTGCTAGTTCGAGTGGTTCATATATATATATATATATATAATAAATATAGTGCAAAACAAAATTAGGGGCGTGTCACACAAGAGATACTACTTATGAAAGATAAAGTTTTCCAGCCTGTATAAAAACATGGCAACAGCGTTTCCGAAGGATGTTAAAGGATTATCTTAATCCGATTTTATTCATCCCTGTGTTTCCAACAAAACCAAACACTGCAGCCGGCACAGAAAACACGTTTTCTTTGTTTTAAAAATTTCTATCTATCTGAGCCTGTTTATCTATCTATTCATATATCTGTGATTGAATCGTTGCTTCTTAGAGATTTATGAATCGTATCCATCATTTGAGTCAGAATGAAAAAAACATTTTGTTTCACTTAAAATTCGTAAATCGATTTTACTTTAATCTGGGTCTAGAAAACATATGGTTAGGCGTTTATACGTGAAATAATATATATTGATGTTGTCTGGGTAGAAATACAACAAACACCAACTCAATCACTCACGAATGTCTAGTAATTATAACAATGAAAGTTATTTTTAGCTAACTTACTATTATTACAGAGATCACTTTTTTAGTGCTTTTTAAACCCCCTTATATTTTGAACGTATTTAAGAAAGTTAGATTTACAGGGTTTACTTTAAGTCGTTCTCTTGATCCAATGTGAAATTAACATTGTATATTATCTTATTTCATTACTTTTGTTGGTTCTTCTTGAATAGTATTGTTTCAGTCCACCCCCACAAAAAAGAAATTCTACCAGTTTAAATTATGGAAAACTATCTGTGGTACCCGTCCGAGGACTGGTGAAATAAAAACTTCTATTTTTTTTAACATAATAAACATTAAAAGTGCAATAAAAATACATAAGGTACCCATTACGAAAACAAATACATACTGTTTTCAAGAATTCTATCAATATGAAATTAGATGCGGATCCAATCCTCCCTCATTACCTTCCTCATGTCATCAATATCCTGTATCACTGTGTCAAGTCTGGTGCTTATTGATCAAGAAATGTGTAAACGTATAAGGAACAGATACACACGCATACTGATATCTATTTATATAGAAGAAGGGGGTCCAACCCCCCGACCTTTTCATGACCTTTCTTGTGTTATCCTACATCACTATGTCAAGTTTGGTGCTGATTGATCAAGAAATGTTAAAATATATAAGGAACATATGGTTGAAAGGTGCGAACAAACAGATACAAACTTAACTTTATATGTTAAATAAGACACAGAGAATAACATGGATGAAAATACTTTTGACAGGGTGCAGTGGGTGTTCTCAAAATGTGGTAGAATTCCTAGCAATATTATGCGACTTTAAGGGAAAGGGTAAAACAATCATAAAGTTTATTTTGATGTGATAATTAGTAAGCTTATGTACTTACAACGCTCAAAACTGAGCTCCAGTTCCCTGTAGTGAACAAAGCGCAGATAGCCCATTATGTAGTTTGGTGCTTAATAGCAAACAAACAAACTAAATAAAGACGCAAACAAGTCAATAAATGATATTATTATAACATTCGTTAGTATTTACAATTTTCCTAAGTGGAATAACATATTTTCCTCAAAATAAGCTTGAATATGCTTGTGCGGTCGTTTTTTACTATATATATAAAGCAAAAATATATCTGTGTCTGTCTGTTTGTCTGTTACCTAACTACTCCTAAGTCGCTTGGCCAATCTCATCCAAATTTAATGGGTTGATAGTTTGGAACAAAGGGCATGTTAGTTGGGGCTTCATGCTATTATTATAACATTCGCTAGTAATTGCAAATATATATCGAAGATTTTCTTTGTTATTGCTTTTCACTTTAGGTATTAACGAAGGTTCGCTCTTGAATATTTCAAGTCAACTTTCTTCTTGCAAAATGAGAAATAATTAGCATGAACACATTCAGTTGATTAACTTCATCACAGAGGACAACGGTCATACATATAACTAACTATTTAAATATTGCTACACGGCAGAGATTTTCTCCTATATTGAAAGCCAGTTTGTAGGAGCTTGGAAAATGAGTTCCTTTACGACAAAGTATAACATATTTACTTGTATTTAATTCATCACAGAGATCAAAGTTCAGTTATATAGAAATGTTAAGATAACATAAGCTTTTATCTTCAATATTAGAAGCAGTTTCTTTAAACTTGGAATAACATATCTTCCCTAAAATAAGCTTGAATTTACTCATGCGGTTGTTTTTCTATATATATAAAGCACAAAAATCTCTGTGTCTGTCTGCTTGTCCCTTATCTAACTATTCCTAGGCCTCTGGGCTAATCTCAACTAAATTTTGTGGGCTGATAGTCTGGAACAAAGGCCATATTATGGGGGCTCACTATCCCTCCATCCCCATTTTTGCTGTTATTGAACATTCATTATTTGTGAGGTAACATAACGTTAACTACATTCCTAGATAGCGCCACGTTTTTAACAAAAAAACTATTATATTTTGCGTGCCCTGGTGGGACAGCGGTAAGTCTTCGGATTTACAAAGCTAAAATCAGTGGTTCGATTCCCCTCTGTGGACACAGCAGATAGCCAAGTCTGGCTTTGCTATAAGAAAATACACACATTAAATTTTCTATTACACAACATACACACAGTGCGATGGAGGGCACACAAACATCTTATATATCTCAGAGAGTGCGTTAACACTCTCTATGGGAGAATGCAATGAAAATAATGGCCGCCACTATTGCAATAATACATAAACTCAGATGAAGTCATCATAACGTTGATATGAAGAGCCATTTCTTGAGTTATACCCTCTTCCTACTTTGACACATGACCTTTCAACTTCATCCTGTAAGATACTTCTGCGGCCAATGGCTATCAATCAATGAATGACGTGAAACAGTGTGGAAGAACGGGTATCTCAGTTTTTATTAAATAAATCAAATATTATATATATAACGACATCTTTCGACATTTCTATCTGAAATTTTGATGCACTGTGTATAAAGTTTGTTGAATACATTTTTCAATGTCGAAGCCCCCCAGTGGCACAGCGGTATGTCTGCGGACTTAGAACGCTAGAAACCGGGTTTCGATACCCGTGTTGGGCAGAGCACAGATAGCCCATTGTGTAGCTTTGTGCATAAATTCAAACAAACAAACAAATCAATGTCGGAGCATAAATAGTCTTAAATACGAACTTATTGCGTCTTTTAAATTGTAAAGATGTCAAAAGTCAAATATATGATACATCATGAAAAGTCATGATGTCAGATTAGGTTTAAATTTGCTAGGGGCTATATAATGATGTTCGTCAGTTTAAGTTCAAATTTACAATGCATTTTAAAGTGGAGACCTTCAGTTTAAGTTCAAATTTACAAAGCATTATAAAACGATGACCCTCAGTTTATGTTGAAATTTACTAAGGGTTATAAAGTGCAAACCTTCAGTTTAAGTTAAAGTTTACTGAGGGTTATAAAGTGCAAACCTTCAGTTTAAGTTCAAATTTACAAAGCATTATAAAACGATGACCCTCAGTTTATGTTGAAATTTACCAAGGGTTATAAAGTGCAAATCTTCAGTTTAAGTTAAAGTTTACTGAGGGCTATAAAGTGCAAACCTTCAGATTAAGTTAAATTTTACTAAGGGTTATAAAGTGCAAACCTTCAGATTAAGTTAAAGTTTACTAGGGGTTATAAAATGATATCCGTCAGTTTATGTTAAAATTGACTAAGCGTTATAAAGTGATGACCCTCAGCTTAGGTTAAATTTATTTTTCTCGAGTATCAAGTCTTCTTATAGTTCAATGCCTAGTTGTTGACTCTTAGATGTTTATTCACATTGTCTTGTTCGATACATTTTCGTTAATATTGATATCGGATTTCTTTTTACTTTTTTTGTAATAACTGAAAACATAAGTCATAGTTTTGTATGAAAGTTTCAATGTTTTAAAATAATGTTTTTGCGTAAAGGATGCAACATGACTTTTACATTTGAATTACTGAAGTTTGTATGATGTTAAATCAAAGTATGCGATTTTGAGGGAAAATGACGACAAATCAAAATCAGGTTTTCTTCACAAAGGTCCCACGGTGGATTAATGATTAGTTTAGGGACTTACAACGTTCAAATCCGACAGAGCGCAGATAATCCATTGTGTGGATTTACGCTAAATCGTAAATAGATCTTTCATAAAAAATATGTTGGCTTGTTCTGTTTCTTTCTATGGTTTGTTTGTTTGTTATTAAGCCCAAAGCTACACAATGGGCTATCTGTACTCTGCCCACCACGGATTCTAGCGTTGTAAGTCCGCAGACATACCGCTGTGCCACTGGGGGGGGGGGCTCTTTCTATAGAGTCTCAGACAAAGAAAAATAATATTCTAAAAGCTTAGCACAAACCATCTGTCTATTTGTTGGTATTTATTTATCATCAACATTTCATACAAAAACACATCTGAAAGTATATTGGATAGACAGACAGAAATATAGAAGGTCAGACAGAAAGTTCTCGAACTTAACAAATCTGTCATGAAATTAAGCTATTAGGATTACATTACACTGCTAGGATTACCTTTATTATCCGCATTGGACTGTCTCGAATATCGCAAACTGCTCCGCAGAATTTCTCTCCGAGCTTTTTCTGGAGATATGCGAGAGAAGATTGATTCTGAGCCGTCATGGGTACAACCACCTGCATTTCTTGCTCTTCGGTGACACCTTTCCTTAGCAGCGAAAGATTGTCCTTACTGTGGATCACTTTCTCAGGACTTGCAACCGAGACTGGTAACCGGAAACGACTCCTTTGTTCTTGCCGCCAAGACTGTATTGTTTGTAGAAGTGTGGAAACTTTATGCATGTCTAAAATGCAGCGAGAAAGAGCTTTCGGTCAAAAGATATTTACTGAAGTTTACTGAAAATATTGGCTGCTTACTGCACTACATACGAATTAAAACATTTGTTCTAAACATTGTCCAAATACAAGAAATATATATACTGAACAGTTCGTCTACGCTAGGATTTGTGCGACACTGTCGTGAGCAGTATATATATACCCTAGTTGTCCAATTAACGTTCGTTTATCGATTCTTCTGGAACACGCAACAGGTGCTAGCATGTGTATATGTAGCATACACTTAGGCTAGACCACTTCAAAAGGGAATAATTCTAGAACAAATATTACTTCAGCTACGAAATACATAGCAATAGTAAAACATGGCATAGGTATATTCATAATAAGAAAGTATGTTACACATTACCTGTAACTGTGGATCAACCCTCGTTTAACTGATTTCCTATAAACTTTCATATATTTTTAATACACAAATTTCTGCTTCCTAAAACACTCGATATCTATTTAGCAACTAACTATTAAGGTCAGTAATTGTTAACAAAATTTGTATTCACTCCGTCAATTATTGTTATATTAACAAAAACAAGACAACTTTAAGTTGATAAAACATAAAACACCAGTAGGGTAACAAAGCCTCTTGAGTGAGAATCACAACATAACATTTCGGTCCCTCGAATTTACATATAACTCGATTAGTCTAACATGATGGATGGCTTTTTTTTTACTGTCTCTAATCTTTCATATCAATCGTACATACGTTTGCAGTTCTTAAAACAACTCTTACAACTTCACTGTAAAGTTTTGTCCTTATTGACCAACGGAAGATCGTTAAAAAATGGGTTTAAATATCTCAAGATCACTAAATTCGCTTTCGAAACTACAATAAGATGCATACGTCAATTCATCCTAATGTTTCCATACATTATACACGAACCATCAATAAAACTGTCGATCAGTTGTAGACATATGAAACTGACTCACTTGTGAAGGGCTCTGCGTGACGTTGCTACCCACTCTGGTGTTTTGTACAAAGGTCCAAAAGGGGTATGCTGTGTTGCGCAGAAAATTTGGAACTGGTGCAGGTTTTCTCGACCTTCAACTAGACTCACAAATTGTATTACTTAGTGTTTTCTCGATATAAATCTTTTAAGTTGTTCTAAAGTGCATACTGTGCAATATTTTGTCGATTATTGTGTGACGTGATTCACATTCCAAAGACCCTGCTTTAGAGCGCGCACGCCAACTGGCTCATATCTTGTATACAACCACGTAAATATGGTACCGAATACACCAAGATGAATACCACTTTTTTGTATTTGTTGTTCGGTTTCAAAAACCTGAAAAACAAGCTCTGTAAGTCTTCAATTTTGTGAGTCGTGTGTGGATTAGTGGTGAGCGTGCCAGATTGTGGACCCGATGATCCATTATTCACGTCCCGTTGCCGCAAAATCGCACTCCACGCTTTGTCAAATCCCTCTATTTCATTGGAGTAGCTCCAGATTTGTCTATGGGCGCTGCTGACTAACTGTTTTCCCTCTAATCTAAATCAGAGACAACTAGCTCATTCGGGTTTAATCTTATCAAAAATATTCGTCCGCCACCAACAGACACCAATGTTACCAAAAGACAGCAATGGTACCAGCAGCCAAAACTGTTATAATGAAACAAAAATTTTTAATTATTCAAGTGAGCAACAAACCAAAACTTTATCAAACCTGGGCGAGATGCACGTGCGACACACGTTGAAACGGCATTGAGATGCGCACATAACTAATCACTTAATGATTTTATAATTGTATTCAGATAAAACTTTCCAGATGTTATCAAGTTTTGAATATTATGTTTCATTAGTCTAGTGTGTTTCCAATGTGGAAGGGCCCGGCATGGTCAGGTGGTTAGGGAACTCGACTCGCAATCTGTGGGTCGCAGTTCGAATCCCCGTCACACCAAATATACTCGCCCTTTCAGCCGTGGGGACGTTATAATGTACGATCAATCCCACTATTCGTTGGTAAAAGAATAACCCAAGAGTTGGCGGTGGGTGGTGATGACTAGCTGCCTTCCCTCTAGTCTTACACTGCTAAATTAGGGACGGCTAGCGCAGATAACCCTCGTGTAGCTTTGCGCCAAATTCATAACAAACAAACAAACAAATGTGGAAACGTTACTATATTTCCGGCATAACCCATTATATATTCCAAGAAAAAGGCTTTTAAGTAGTCTTTAAAATTTCCTTGTTATTTTCAAGTTTAATACAAGAATGAGTCCCCTATTTAGTAATTATATTCTTATGGCAATTTTTTATAAAGTCATGAAAAGTACTGTAATATACCTATATGCACTAACAAGTTCCGAATTTTTCATCAGAAACGTAAAGTTACTGAATAAAAACTTTTGCTGTACCGTTAGGATAGATTGCAGATTAATTTAAAATATCCATTAGTTAAATAGCCGGAAATTATAAGCAAAATGGACGGAATATTCACAATCAAAACTTATAAATGTTAATTACGACAAAAGCAGTCTTTTCTTTCCGAATCTGTTTTTCTTCTAGCCTTAGGTTAATACACTGTTATCATTTTATTAATAAACTCTATTGAATTCAACAAATATTAGGACTCTTTTTTTTTTTTACTATGCTTGGGGGCCAATGTTTTACAGTTGTTACATCCTATTATTCTGCCTGACGTTACTCTTTCTAATGTGAATCTTTGAAATTTTAATCAAGATTAATGGGCATCCTTGTTCGTTATTTCCGTGATATAAAATAATATACTGTTAAACCATTAAGCATCCTTTATTTCAAGAAATTGCTTTTCTTTTACTACGAGTTGAATGTGATTTATGCGGATTTACGAACATTAGTGAATTAAAATTTATGTGGAAAAAGAAACTCGTTAGGAAGGTTTAATTAAACCCAAGACTAAGGAGAAAGCATTTTAAGATATAATTGCAATAATATGTTTGCAAGTATTCTTCGATATTTGGCCATTTCTTACCAATATTTCGTTCTAAATTTTCGGTTTAGACTATTAATATTATCACGGTTGAATGCAGATGCGTTGGTAAAAGAGTAGCCCAAGAGTTGGCGGTGGCTGGTGATGACTAGCTG